GGAAAATTAGAAAATATTTTGAGAAATGTAAATGAAAACACAACATACAAAAAGTTGTGTTATGCAGCAAATGTCTTGCCAAAGCAATTAGGCAAGAAAAAGAAATAAAAAACAACCAAATCGAAAAGAAAGAATAACATAAAATATATTTGCAGATAATATAGTAATATATGTCAAGAACCCTGAAAATCCTGTATAAACATCTTGGACTAATAAATAAACAAAGTTGCAGGATACAAAGTCAACACACACAAAAAAGAGCTGCATTTTAAAACACTAGCTAGCAACGCATAACCCAAAAAGGAAATTGAGAAAACAATATCATTTACAATATTATTAGAAAGAATGGAATACTTGAGAACAAGCTTAAAACCAAGACAAGATATATACATTCAAAATTAAAAACCATTGCTAAAGTTAAAGAAGACATAAAGAAATTTAAAAACATCTAATGTTCATGATTTGAAAGACTTAATATTGTCAAGATGACAGTACTACCCAACCCAAACCAATTTACAGATTCATAACAATCTTGATCAAAATCCCAGGGATGCTTCTTGCACAAATTAAAAAATGCATTACAAAGTTCATATGGAATCCTAAGGCATTTCAAATAGCCTTAAAAGTTTTTTAAAAAAGAATGAAGTTGAATAACTTGTAGTCCCTGAAGACAAAATTTAATGCAAAACCACAGCAATGAAAACAATGTGGTTTGATATGAAGACAGGCATATAAACAAATGGAGAAGAATAGAAAGCCCAGAAATTAACCCTAACATTTGCGGTCAAATTATTTCCATCAAGGCTCCCATGACCATTCAATGGATGAATGGCAATTGCTTCAATAAATGCTGGGAGAAGTGTATATCCATATGTAAAAGTATATTTAGAATCTTATCTCAAGCATACGCAAACATTGACTCAAAATGGATAAAAGATCTAACTGAAGAAAGAGTTAAAAAGTTAAAATTCTTAGATATAAACATAAGGGAAAAGCTTCATGACATTGGATTTGATGATTTCTTTAATATTAAACAAAAGACTAGACAATGAAAGAAAAACAAATAAACATCATCAAAATGAAAAACTTTAGTACACAAAAGCATACTATTAAGACAGTGAAAAGACACATAGAATTAGAAAATAGCAAATCACATATATAATAAGGAATTAGTATCCAGAATATATACATTCTAAAACTCAGCAATAAAAAGAAAACGCAATTTAAAAACCTGCGAAGGACTTGAAAAGAAAATTCTCTAGAGATATATGGATGGCCGATAATTGAAATAAGGCTCAACCTGGCTAATTGGGAAATGGAAATAAAAACTACAGTGATAGTCCATTTTGCAACTATTAAGATGGCTACTATTAAAAATAAATAAATATTGGCAAGAATGTAGAGAAATTGGAACCCTTGTGCTTGCATTGTTGGCGACACTGTGGCAGGGAATATGGTACTCCAAAAAAAATTGAAAATAGAATTATCATATGCTCCAGAAATTCTTCTGGGTATATACCCAAAAGGATTGAAATGAAAACAGGGACTAGAACAGGTATTTGTTTACCAATGTTCATAGTAATATTATTTACAACAGCCAGAAGGTAGAGGCAAATTCAACATCCATTGACAAATGATGGATGAACAATATGTGATATATACATACAATGACATATTTTGAAGCTTAAAAAATAATACAATTTTACTACATTATACAACATGGATGAACTTCTAAAATATCATTCTAAGTGAAAGAAGCTAGACACAAATGGACAAATACTGGATAACACCAATTATATGAGGTATCTAGAGTAGTCAATTCATAGAAACCTCAAGTAGAATATTGGTTACCAGGGGCTGGGGGAAGAGGATAATGGGGGATTTATTTTTAAAAAACAGGCAAAAAATTAGGACACTTCATCATAGAAGATATGTGTATTTAAAATAAGAGTAATGAAAGATGCTCAGCATCATGTATCATTAGAGACCTACAAATTAAAACAACATTAAATCACCATAAACAATAATTAGAATGCTTAAAATACCAATTGCTGAAAACACCAAATGCTGGTGAGGATGCCAAGCAACAAGAACTTTCATTCATTGTTGGTGAGAATGAAAAATGGCACACACACTTTGTAAGACAATTGAATAATTTTCTACAAAACTGAACAAACATGCTGCTATTATATGATTCAGTAGTTATGCTCCTTGGTATTTACCCAACTGATTGAAAAACTTAAGTCCACACCGAAACCTGTAAATGAGTGTTTGTTTAAGCAACATTATTCACAATTGCCCAAAACTGAAAATAAGGAAACCCACATTGTCCTTTAATAGATGAATGATCAAACACACTGTAATACATCTGTACAGTGGAATATTATTCAATAATAAAAGCAAATAAGCCAAAAAGCCATGAAAAGACATGGAGGACTCTTTAACAAATATTACTAAGAGACAGTAAAAAGATCATGGGTTTCTAGGAGTTTATGGAAAGAGATGAAGAGCTAAATATGTGGATCACAGGGCATTCTTAGGACAGTGAAACTATTGTGTATGATACTGTAATAATGGAAATATATTTTTAAGACCCATATACTTTTTAAGACCCATATATTTTTAGGACTCACAGAACATACAAAGAGAGTTAAATGCAATGTAAACTATAGACTGTAGTTAATAATAATGTAAAAATAGTAGCACAGGAATCATAGTGCAACACTCTAACGAAAGATGTAAAATAATAGGGCAGACAGGGAGGGAGAGGGAAAAGATAAATGGTAGTTCATTGTACTTGACACTTGTTTTTATGTAAACCAAACATTGATCTGAAAAACGTCTGCTAATTTTTTAAAAGCAACTATAGAAAATATATCATGAAGAATCACCATCAAAATAGCATAACCTTGATACAAAATCAGAAACATTAAGTATGAGATATGAAACAATCAAATTCATGAGATAGAAATGTTTATATCAAATAAAATACTCAAAAATTGAACAAAAACCAGATCATGGTCGGTTTTATTCTGGAAATTAAAGTTGGTTTACTATTTTAAAAATCAATAAACATATTTGTACATTAACAGATTAAAAAGGAAAATAATAAAGTCAACAAATGCTCAGAAAGTCTTTGATAAAATTTAACATTTATCCATAATAGAAAACACTTGGACTAGAAATAAAAGTATTATTTGAAATTGAAAATTATTATTAAAAATATTCCATAAATATCATAGTAAAGTGTGAAGTCTTGAAATTTTTTTTTCAAAATAAGGACAAGGCAAGAATATCCGCCACTTATATGGCAACTTGCATAAAATTCTATATTTAATATTCTGTTATTTTCTTGACATCTTGATATTGATGCTTAGATTACTAATTTTCAGAGTAATAAATTATAAATGTCTATGGCAACCAATGAAAAGCATATCATTAATAAAAAGAGAACAACACTATTATAATTGACAACATTTCCTGAATAATGGCATTTCACCTACATGCTAATAAAATTGATCTAGAATGGGCCAGGCGCGGTGGCTCAAGCCTGTAATCCCAGCACTTTGGGAGGCCGAGGCGGGTGGATCACAAGGTCAACAGATTGAGACCATCCTGGTCAATATGGTGAAACCCCGTCTCTACTAAAAATACAAAAAATTAGCTGGGCATGGTGGTGCGTGCCTGTAGTTCCAGCTACTCAGGAGGCTGAGGTAGGAGAATTGCCTGAACCCAGGAGGCGGAGGTTGCGGTGAGCCGAGATCGCGCCATTGCCCTCCGGCCTGGGTAACAAAAGCGAAACTCTGTCTCAAAAAAAAAAAAAAAAAAATTGATCTAGAATGATAAATGATAATGCTGTCTATTGAGATCTGTCACTGGAGTCTATATAAATTTGCCTAGATTCAGTAAGATTTCTATTAACTCATAATTATGTTTGTAAGTAGTTTTTTTTTTAAACATTTTAACTACAAAATATAACAAGTTTATATATAAATTAAAATAAATACATAAGTTATACCTTATGTATTTCCTTTATGAATGTAATATTTCATAGTAAGAGATTTTATCAAAAAAATCTAAAAAGTAGATGTAAAACAATGACTGAATGTAAATAACAATATATTAAGAAAACAATTGCGTACCCAATGAAACATGGTAGCAAAAATGGACAACGTATAACTTTGTGTTGAGATATTATAAAAAAATAAGGTTGAAGAACTAAAATATAACAGAGGAAGTAAAAAATTCAAGCTAAAATTATAATCACAGAAAGGAAAAAAAATGAAACAATAAAATGTGGCTATTTTCTTTGTCAACAACTGATAGCAAATGACTGATAATGTAGTAGCATTTTATATCCTCTGAATCCAAATAATTTAGAAATGATAGAATTAAATATTGATACATTCTGGTGAATTTGAGGTTACTCTTATAATGTTGAGTATAGCATGTACTGATATTTTTTTAGGAAAATAATTTTTTAAAACCCTAACATTATACATTTTAATAAATGGAAATTCAATATAAAAGTAACAAATTTAAATTACCAGATCAAAATAGACAAATAAGAAAAAATAAAAAAGCTTTTTTCAGGAAGTTGCATTTCCTATTGGAAATCTCTCCACGAGAACAATAAAAATATTCCCTGACATATCAACACGTTTTTAAATATACTTTGTAAAATGTTGTATATTCATATACCTTAATTATTAACTGTATGTGGGAGAAAAATAGTATGTTCACAATATAAGTAAAAATGCATTTATTTGTGTTTAAGGAAAAAAGTTTTTATTTAAACATATTACTAATGAAGTTATGAGTGCTTATAGTTCAATACATATCTGATGCAATTCACTTAATATGTAACATAGTGTCAAAATTAGGTAAGTTATTTTTCTTTATATTAGTCTATTTGATCTAGGCAAGTTAAAATAAGACTCTCAATTTATTTGGAGTGATCCACAACAATAACATGCAATTCAGATACAAAAGTGACTTACCCCTTTCCCTTTGCATTTTGTAGTGGCATTACAGTTATATCCCATTAAATGAGCTTTTCTGCAGGTTTTATTTACACAGTACTAAAACAAAACAAAAATTTTACAATTCACAAAACTCATATAAAACAAGAAAAAAATTAATAATTTGATATGTATGCATAAAAGATGCTTAAGTTGAAAGACTTTTTAGTAATATTAATATGGTTATTAATTAATATGATTAAGATAATATTAATCATATTAATATTTACGTTAATATACAAATAACAAAGTAATTGCAAGCAAAAACTCTGAAGGTGTTTGCCTTGACATGGTGTATGTAAGGATTACATGTAGTTTTGGTTTTTGATATTTATAGCTGCGACTGAATTGAGACATTCATCATATGAGTTTTCTATATTATGCTAATGTTTTGATATCAATAATTGATTACATGTTAATAATTTGTCCTCTCAAAAAATTGGAACAGAATTAATTTTGTGTTTAGGTCTTGAATATAATTCATAAATTATCATGTATCTTTGTCATAATATTCATCAGAATAATATGGCAAGAAAAACATTTAGCTTTATTTTTATTACGTGTAAAACTTTTATGGTGTCAAAATGGGTAATACAGTCATGAATAATCACCTGAATATGTGGTGTTTGGCCTCATTTATGTTTTTCTACTTTTTCCTGACTTTGTAAGCTTATTTTTTATTTCAAAATGTCACCATGAAATCTGTTTAAGTCATTCACAATATAACAATACTAAACATAAATAAAAATTACTTTTTAGTTATTTCCTCAAATCTGCATAAAACTAACTTATAAATTATACGTTGCATATGTCAACCCACTTTTGTCCCTCATATTGAGCAAATATCAGATGTTCTAGCCAGAGCAATTTAGCAAAAAATAAAAAGATATCCAAATTGTAAGAGAAAAGAAAAAATACAATAAAAAACTTAGAAATAAAATTAACAACGAAGAAGACTTGTACAATTAAAAACTCCAAATCATTGCTTAAAAATTAAAAGGAACGATTTTTAGCTTCCATGTAGGAATAGGAATATATGGTATTTATTTCTCCGTGCTTGGTTTATTTCAGTTAACCCAATGGTCTCGAGGTTCATCCATGTTCCGCAAATAACGTGAATTCATTTGTTTGTCGCTAAATAATGATTCTTTTGTGTGTATGTACCACATTTTTTTATCCTTTCATCCATTAATGAGCAATTAGGTTGATTCCATAGTTTGGTTATTGTGAATAGTGTGACAATAAACAGAAGACTGTAATTATCTCTTCAACATATTTATTTTCTTTTCTTTGAATAAACACCCAGTAGTAGGATTACTGGATCACATGGTAGCTCTATTTTCAGTTTTGGAAGAAACACCGTATTGTTTTCCATAATAGCGGTACTAATTTGGATTCTCACAAACAGCATGTAAGAGTTACTCTTTCTCTGCATTCTTGCTAACATGAGTTACTTTTTGTATTTTAAAAGTTTGAGGTGCTGAGCTTGCTAGTTAGCTGGGTATGAACATTATACATTATATACATGCACTGAATTACATTAATTGACATATAATTAATTGATATATAAAAATGGTACATATTTATAAGTACAGTGTACTTTTTTTATATACAGTGTACCTTGTAAATGCACAGTTTTTGTATAACAATTAAAAACAATAATTTTATGATTCACAAATTTTATATAAAACAAGGAAAAACATTAAGCAATGATTTAAATATATATGTATAAGGATGCATATACACCATCTGGTTCTTGTGTTATTTCCTTAGGGTAATTGCCTTTAGCTCTATTCATGTTGCTGCAAAGGACGTGATTTTATTCTTTTTTAGGGCTGCATAGTATTCCATGGTGTATATATACTACATTAAAAAAAATCTAATCTAGTATTGATGGACATTAAGGTTTATTCCATCCATGTCTTTGCTATTGTGAATAGTTCTGCAGTGAACACACAAATGCATGTGTCTTTTTGATACAGTGAATAATTTTCCTTTGACTATATACCCAGAAGTCAGATGGTTAGTTCAAATGATAATTATTTTAAGTTGCTTGAGAAATCTCCAAACTTCTTTTCACAGTGGCTGAACTAATTTGCGTTCCACCAATAGTGTGTAAGTATGCACTTTTCTCTTCACCCTCACCAACATTTGGTTGGTTGGGAGAGAATAACAAGGATTTATTTTTAAATGGGTACAGAGTTTCAGTTTGATGACAAAAAATGTTCTGGACATAAACAGTAGGGGCAGTTGCACAATAATATGAATGTAATTAATGAATCGTACACCTGAAAATGGGTAGAATTGTAAATTTACATTATGTGTGTATATTTTATCACAGTAAAAAAAGGGAAAATTGTATATGCCATATGAAGATTATGAAATTGTCCAAATTAAGCCTACTGACTGTAGCACCACCCACTGTAGCACCTCCCACCTATGACATTCCCAGTGCACCTGCTGGAGTGCCCCCTGCCCACGGGACCTCCAACAGAGCATCCTCTGTCCATGATGACCCCTACTGGAGTGCACACACCTTCCACTTGCCATGCTCCTGGAATCCCCTTCTAAGCACCCTGCCCATGGTGCCACATGCTGGAGTGCCTCTGTGGCACAACTCCCACACTCACCAGCACACCTACACCCATGACTTTCCACTATCTCCTATGAAGTGCTATGGCCGGTAATCTGAAAGCACTTTCACAACTCCAGTTCAACTGAAGCTCAACCTCAAAGGACCATCATCTCAGCCCAAAAGCTTCTAAAGCTGATAAACAACTTCAGCAAAATCTCAGAATACAAAATCAATGTGCAAAATTCATTAGCGTTCCAATACACCAAAACAGACAAATGAGTCAACAGTCAACAGAGTCAAATCAGAAATGTACTCCCATTCACAATTGCCATAAAAAAACATATCTAGGAATACAGTTTACTAGGGAGGTGAAAGATCTCTATAAGGAGAACTACAAAACACTGCTCAAAGAAATACAGATGACATGGAAACACATTCCATGCTCAGGGAGAGGAAGACACAATATAATTAAAATGGTCACACGGCCCTGGGCAATTAATAGGTTCAATATTACTCTCGTTAAACTACCATTGAAACTCTTCACAGAATTAGAAGAAAATTATTTCAAAATTCACATAAAACCAAAAATGAGCCTGAAAAGCCACTGCAATCCTATGCAAAGAGAACAAAGCTGGAGGCATCACACTGCCTGACTTCCAACTATCCTGCAGGAATGCAGTAACCAAAACTGCATGGTACGGGTCCAAAAACAAACACAGAGGCCAAAGTAACAGAACAGAGAACCCAGAAACAAGACCACACATTTACAACAATCTAATATTTTACAAACCTGACAAAAACAACCAGTGTGGAAAGCATACTCTATTCAATAAATGATGCCTGGATAAATGGCTAGCCATATGCAGAATATTGAAACTGGACCCCTTCCTTACACTACATTCAGAAATTAACTTAAAATGGATTAAAGTCTTAAACGTAAAACCCAAAAATATAAAAACCCTGGCAATACCATTCAGGACATAAACACAGGTAAAGCTTTCATGATGCAGATGCCAAAAGCAATTGCAACAAAAGCAAAAATTGACAAGTGGGATCTAATTTAACTAAAGAACATCTGCACAGCAAAAGAAACCAAACGAAGTTAAACAGACAACCTACAGAGTGGGAGAAAATATTTGCAAACTATATATCTGACAAAAGTCTAATAACCAGCATCTATAAGGAACTTAAAGTTTACAAGAAAAAAAATTAAACAAAAAACCATTATAAACTGGGCAAAGAACATGAACAGATACTTTCCAAAGAAGTCATACATGAGGCCAACAAACATGGGGAAAAAAGCTCAACATCATCGATCATTAAGAAAATGCAAATCAAAACCAAAGTGAGATACCATCTCATACCAGTCAGAAAGGCTATTACTAAAATGTCAAAAGATAACAGATGCTGACAAGGTTGTGGAGAAAAAGGAATGCTTATACACTATTGGTGGGAGTGTAAATTAGTTCAGTAATTGTGGAAGACAGTATGGTGATTCCTCCAAGTTCTAAAGACAGCGCTATCCCATTACTGGGTGTATACCTGAAGGAATACAAATCGGTCCAGCATAAAGGCACATGCGCAGGTATGTTCATTGCAGTACTCTTCACAATAACAAAGACATGGAATTAACTTAAATGCCTATCAATGATAGACTGGATAAAGAAAATGTGCTACATATACACTATGGAATACTATGCAGACATAAAAAAATGAAGTCATGTCTTCTGCAGGGACATGGATGGAGCTGGATGTCATTATCCTTAGTGAACTAATGCAGGAACAAAAACTAAATACTGCATGTTGTCACTTATAAGTGGGAGCTGAATAATGAGAACACATGGGCACATAGAGGGGAAAAACACACAGTTGGGACCTTTGTTAGTGTGGAAGTTGGGAAGAGGGAGAAGTTCAGAAAAAAATAATAAGTACTAGGATTAATACCTGGGTGACAAAATAATCTCTACAACAGCTCCCATAACACAAGTTTAGCTACGTAACAAACCTTTACATGTACCCCTGAACTTAAAATAAAAGTAAAAAAAGAAAAAATTGCTAATGAAAACCACAATGAGATGTCATCTCATACCAGTTAAAGTTCAGAAATAGGAGGACAGTGAGGTTGCTGAGAAAAGGCAACACTTATAAACTGCTGGTGGAAATATAAATTAGTTCAGCTGTTGTGGAAAGCACTTTGGAGATTTCACCATGAACTTAAAACAGAGCTACAATTTGACCCAGCAATATATATTTCTTTGATATACATCCAAAGAAAAGTAAGTCCTTCTACCAAAAAGACACATGTATTTATATGTTTATTACACCACTATTCACAATAGCAAAGACATGAATCAGTGAAGATGCCCATTAATGGTGAGCTGGATAAAGAAAATAGGGTACACACACATCATGGAATACTATACAGCCATACAAAAAGAATGAAATAATGTCCTTTGTATTATTTCATTCTTTTCATGGATGCAAC